CTTCCACCCAGACTAGTGTAATGTTCTCTCTGTCACAACTAAACGTCAACCTTTACAACATAATTACACTCTTCACAATAATATTTTAGAAACTGTTACATCTGCTAAGTACTTAGGCATCACACTACAATCAAACCTAAAATGGAACAAACATATAGATGACAATATCTCGAAAGCCAACAAAACACTCGGCTTCCTTCGAAGAAACCTGAAAACATCTAATCAAAACATTAAGAGCCAGGCATACCAAGCACTTGTCCGTCCCAAACTCGAGTACTCTTGCTCGGTTTGGGACCCCCACACTTCAGAATCTATCTCGAAGATAGAGATGGTCCAAAGGAGAGCTGTTCGGTATGCCTGCAACAGGTATCATAACACTAGCAGTGTATCAAACATGCTCAATACACTCAAGTGGCCACAATTAACACAACGCAGATTACGTGCACGCCTGGTTATGATGTACAAGATCACACATCATCTTGTTGCTATACCATCTAGCACAATTCTCATCCCATCAGACTCAAGAACCAGAAAACATCATTCTCACACCTTTAGACATATTTATACATCCAAAGACTCGTACAGATTTTCATTTTTCCCATACACAATAACGCAATGGAATCTATTACCAACTACAGTTGTTAATTCACAGACAGTCGACTCTTTCAGAGAGCAGCTTACATATGCTGTTCTCTCCACTCTCATTTAAATATCTTCATCTCCTGTACTTAGTTTTAATCACTACGTCTGTTCTCTGCACAGTTTTTGTATATAACTAAAATATTAACTTGTTTAAATAAATAGGCCACGTATGCACCAGTTATTAATCATCTTTATTCAGATGGAAAACTAGAAAACTTAAAGAAGAAGAAGACTTTCAGTTTCAGAACCCTGCATGTTCCCGTAAAATGCTTATTGATTGACGTCGGGTAGCTCATTCATAAAATAGCATATGACGTGGGAGTATGATCGGCCAAAACATTTCATGACGCCGATCAGCTAACATGTACAATTTATTCATATTTTACCACGGACGTGTACTCAAAGCGTTTGAAGAACGTCATATTAGAATTTAATTATATACTATATTACGTTAAATTATCAGTAACAAATTCAAGATACACAGATACACGTATCCCGATCGTGCGAGACTCCCATGGATAGTCAAGGTCGTTAAATTCCCCATAGTAGAATAAGTCCCGCTATAAAGCACATTCCTCTACAGTGCGTGAATAGATGCCAAGTCTGATGTCTTACACCGATGTCAATTTCAATTCATTTAAATTCAAATTCAAATTACAATATATTTATTTTCCTAGTCACAAGGCCCGTCGATCATTACACATTTGACACGTTCATTCACACTTTCATACCACTCTTTTCACAAAAGAACATCATTGGTGTGGAAGAGAGGTCTAGCTTGTTGGATAAAGAGATATATAAATCTGTGATTATAAAATGTATTCGATGAACAATGACTTAAATCAAAGCATATTACTTTACTAGTATACTTAAATAATAACAGATGAAATGTATTATATTTTTGTATTATATAGTCTATGATATTTCAAAAGGAACATACTTAGACATACTTATGCTTCATTAAATAGCTATTATTTATATTTTTATTATGTTGCATTTTCAGAATTAAGTTTAATTGCTGGTAATAAAACATCAGAACCCTAGATATTAATTATAGTGACCACTATGTATTGTCTCGCATCAATGTATGCAGTAACCATGTGTGTTTGTTTACTTCCGTTATAATACAGAGTACCATGAAATGAACTATACCACGTGCTTATGTTTACCAACATGTCGACCCATGTGATCAGTGTCCGTATGCGTTTATTTACAGATTACTGAAAGATATCATATGACCGAATGTTCGTTATAGTAGCTTGACATTTTGGTTTTCCACTTTTAATTAGGAAAATCGGTCTTGTGTTTTTCTACATTGTTATATGTGCAATATTGTGATTTACTTATATTTTTGTGGAATATTGTTAATATCAAAATATTTTCTAGTTTACATAAGCATTATTTACTGAATACTACTTTGATACATTGAAAGTTTGCGAACACTTGAAACATCTACACAAATAGAGCTTTCTTACAATTTGACGAAAGGTATACGTACGGTTGACGAAAGGTATACGTACGGTTGACGAATCATACGTTAAACCCGTCTGAGGCCTAGGGGATCCTCTATCTTGGCTCTTTTCAAAATATAACATATCTATATATGTTATCATAATCAAGGCTGTCATGGGACTTAGATAGCGTTTTGCCTCAATGTTTGCCTTACAAGAACCATTACACTGTAAGTAACGACACAGGTCAAACTTGAATTTTCATGGGACATAGGAATTTCTCGATATACGAGGTGAAAATATAATACCACCAGCGGAAGGCGATAACTCAACAAAATTTGCTAAACAAAGGCCTCGTCAGAAGAAGAAATAATACCGCTGAAAACAAAAGATTGTGTTCGATCACCCCGAAGAAAATAACAAGGCAAATATATTGCTCCCCCCAACAAAAAGGAATAAACCCAAAACCTTTCTAATTTTTTTCCTGTGTAATACTGCTTGTCGCCTTGTGTTGAGTACATACACCCGAGACTGTAAGCTTACCTATGGAATCGTTCTTTCGGCTTGTATCTGCGATTTCATCCAAGCATGTTTACTGTTAAATCATCAGTATTGAAATTCAGAATATATGTAGTGCAAGATTGTTCATGCACCTTTCGTAAAAATGTAAGAAAGCTCTAATAAGAGTTGATTTTGAAACTTTACATATACCTTTTGGACTTCAATTCTTTTTCGGCGTTCCACATTTTGACTTTTTCATACAAAACATTATTACATGTCTTTCCAAGAATTACTTGCATACAAACATTCTCTGTGAGTGTGCATGTACACGTAACTTATACCAGTAATTAGTTATGGTGTACATGCACCACTTATAGTCATAATTATATTAGCATACCTATATATTATATGGCAAACACTTTTATATCATAGTTTTGTTTTGATATACAGTAATATTTGATTGCAATAACATTGTACTATGAACCACGTGGTATTGTTGCACTTCTCGTGTGTACGTAGCATTTTAACTGAATATATTAGATATCTTCATGTGTGTAATATTGCTCGTCAGATATTTAGTTCTTTTGTAATTTGGTACTTTCGTATATTTGACTTTGATACTATATTGTTGATAAGAATTATAATCTATTGTCATATTTCATTTATGTTAGACATTTACTGATATAGCTAGTAACATGTCGACATAGTTGATTATTTTTAGTATTGATTAAAATTTGTCATATGATCATTTAGTGTATAATGTATATAACCATAGTGGTGGTGAATACTTTTTGTGTTTGTCACACTTAGTATATGTGTGTATTGTTTTTGAAATTGAATTAGTGGAAATGATTTGAATATAAGGTGCGCTTCACATTTAGAATACACCTTTACTAGTAGCACTTACATTTTATTTTCTACTTGACTTACCCGTTTTACTTTACTGACATTGTGACTGAAGTTATCAATTGGACTTCGCTAATTCATAGAATCGTCGTTGAGGTTGAAGTTGTTATGTATTTTGGTTTAGAATAACCCATTGTACATTGATCTATTGATTGATGTTCTGCAGTCCATGCGTTTTGTTACCTCTTCCACTCAGATGTCAGTATTTTTACTGGGAAAAGGGATTTGAAACTGATATGTTTTATTTCATTTCTTGAAGTGAAATATACATTTGTTTCTTGACATAGATTACACTTATTTAAGATGTGAATATTATTACAGAAAAAAAAAAGTATTGTCTGATATATGAATCATACACGTTCCTGTTATATGCTGTTTACAGTTTAATTAAGACATCCTATCATGGTTATTAAGATGAAGGGACCAAACAGCGTTAACATTCATCAAATGCTGTCATTAAAGGTCTTTAGCACCAATAATGTTTGATCACTTGATGGTTTGGTCGTTTGATATTTTTTGTAGATCTCGTGTTGCTGATCATTTCGGCTGTTCATAGTTTGGCTGTTTTTGTAATATCAAGAAAATCAACAAAAGTCTAAAATCGGTCATTAATCGTCATTTAATTACGGAGAATAACAGACGAAGAAATTGATGATGAACGATTGAAATAAATTCATAAAACACATTTAAAGCTGACAAGTTGTTATTGTTGGCATTTGTTTATGTATAGACCAATGGAAGAAGGTTCTTAATACTAACGGTATTGAAGACTTGATGACTTTGATAGGCCACTAGTCTAAATACCATATGTTAAGATAGTCGGTAAGATCAATTCGTTACATTGTGTGCTAGTGACCTAATACGATATATATATGGGGTCAGTAAATTCCATATGGGGTGAGAGCGAAATATTATCAGGAGTCGTTTGGTAATTTTAATGACGATTGGGACGATAGATTTTCTTTATCCTGTCAGATTTTCTATCTCTCATCGATTATGGTTTTCAAGATAATAGACTTACATTTTATCCCCATGTTCTATGTTAAAAGCCAAGGTGCCCATTTTAGTTTGCTTGTGGGGACAAAACTCATTTGTATACACAATTTTGTAGTTTCAGGAGTAATACAATGACGACGGACTCCAAGTGCATAATGGTAATAGCTACAATGACCAAAATAGACTAAGTATGTTTATCAAATGTTCATACAATTTGTTTTACAACACAGCCATAACAATCTGTAGACTTGAAGAACGAATGGAAAACTATTTTCTAGTCGCAAGAATCCACCCTCCCCGAAAAAAGGATACAAAACAAAACAGACAAACATAGTTTTTGACATACATGTAATAAAGAAATGTTGAAATGGAAATGAAAGAATCAAATTTTATATTTACCTTTTTTTTTGGTCAAAATCCAATGCATGTAATAAATGAATGACAGAGACATTGACTCCTCAATGTAACTACGAATGCACCAATTAACTTTATATTTATGTGTCCAGATTGAAATAAATCGGTATTTAAAAAAACGTTGGAAAAACATACTAGCAAATTGATTAAAAAAGAAATGATTGTACAAGACCACAAAAATAGCAGTGACCCTTTGAATATAAAATAACAGGCTTGGCCGACAAAATGAAAATTTCGATTATATGGAAGCTAATAATACAACTTTTGTACTAAATTTGGATTTAGTTTTATTTATATCAATAACTGTGGCAACATAACAAAATAAAAACAGGCATATTTAAGAAATCGTCTGAAGAAATAGGTTCTTGCGGAAAATCGTTTTCCTTTTTACACTTATTTTCTCCATAAACACGCAGTTATTAAAAAGACATTCGACAATCTCAATAGTTACATTTTTGCACCCAAAAAGGTATAGATTTCTTAAATCCGGACATAAACACGACAGTTCTAGCACAGATATATTATTGATGGATGTGTGGCTTAGGTTCATAGATCTTATATGACTATGTTGATGATTGGATATTGAATCGAAGTTGTCGTTCGTAGAACGTTCATTCACAATCACTAAAGTGGGTAAAAAGGCGTCTTTATTATCCAATTTTCTTTTACTGTATGATATTCCAGTACGAGATCCAGGGAATTTCAATTCTGTGATTCCACCACATGAAGCACTGTTAAGTAGTTCGAGCCATTTACACGACTGTAAAAGCGAAGAAATCCCTTTAGAAGTAAATTTTCCGTTATTACTGATGTCTAACTTTCGGAGGGTTGTACATAACCTAGAGATGCTGAATAAACTTTGATCTGTTAATTGTATACAGAAATTTAAAATCAACACCTGTAAATGTTTGCATTTCGTAACCAATGATTCCACACCAGCGTCATCAATTTGAGCACATGCCATAACCGACAGCCGCTGTAAGCGTGGGCAACCTTTCGCTATCGCTATCAAGGTACTACCGGAGATCGTATAAGACCTACAAATATGAATTTGCTCCAAAAACGGACAATTTTCTGCGATATTTGCAATGCCTTCGTCTGATATATCCTCACATCTGACTACAGAGAAAAACTTCAGATTCGGAACGTTCCTTGCAATTAATTTTAAGCCTGCATCATTCACCCTTGTGTAATCTAAGCTTAAAGCATTAAGGGATAGCAAACGCTGCATCGACATGAACGTGTCATTCTTTAGATAAGAACTAGTTACATCTAGTGATTTTAAATTTTGGAAATTCCCCAACAGAAAACGGACGGTGTTATTTTGAATAGTGTTGCAATGAATTGATAATGTCTTGGAATATTTGTTTCGAGAAAGTTCTTCCAAAAAAAAAAGAAATTCAACGTCATCTCCACTATAGTTAATATGTAAATCTTTCAGATTTAACTTTGATAACGTTTTAAAAATGTCACGGAATAAAATGCTATCATCAAATCGAACACTTAATGATTCTAGATTAGTACATTCGGAAATAAAATCGGAAATGACACTCGTTGTTGCCAGATATACACTTGATAAGTCTAAGTTTCGAAGATTCGTAAAATGCGGCTTTGGTGTCCGATGACAAACTTTCACCAAAAATTCCTCATCTGTTAGAAGATGTTTTATATGGATACATATTATGGTAATATTCTGCAGATATAACGATGTCATTTCTTCACTGCGTCTAACGTCCAGTTTATACCATAAACGAGGTGCGTTTGCCAATAGGTTAAAATACTTGGAAACGTGTCTGATCCGTAAGAGAAGGTCATGTTGTGATACGTAGGATAAGATGTTTAATATTATTTCCGGTGGTAAAGAATCCATCCTGAAAAATAAATATATACAAGTGAGTGACCGTGTATAAATAAAACACGGATCGACAGATTATTCATGAAACAATATGTTAACTTTTTTTTTTTAATATTTATTAACAGTAACTCGTATATCATAGATTTATTGATTGTTGGTTGCTTAACTTCCACTGGAAAATATGCATGTTCAGGACGACATATATTATAGAATAATTGGAAGCAGACTGAAATGAAGTTTATAGAGCAAAGTAATTGTTAAAAACAAAAACAGTATAGAAACGTAGTGTACGTACGATGTATAAATGTCATGTGACTGAATTTCTAAAAACAATGACAATATATATGTCAGCATAATAAACAACTTCTTATAAAACTATTTTGTTAGGTAAACAAATGAAGAAAAACCAAGAAATTTAAAAAGAAATACAGAAATAACGAATCTTATTCAAAATAAACAATATTCTGTTCACTGCACAAACCTTGAATGACAAAGATCGAGAGAATTTCAAGTCCCAAATTCGAAGCGCAAATATACATTGGAGAAAAGACTGATCTCAACTGCAAAATAATGTGTCCTTCCTTCGAAACAAATATAAGATACATGTGCCAGTGTTGAGTTGTCTTTTTTATAGAGAAGGTTCAGTATCTTTTTTTGCTAACTACGTATGCTATATACGAAGTAATTGAATTAGATATTTACTAGACAATGGCGAGGAATTACGTCATTAATCTTACTGTATCTAGTGTAAGACATTGGTCCAATTAGGTTTGCTCTTTTTGTACTACAATTGGTATTTATTGTCTAAACTGATCAGTGGTTATATTCATATTCGTCATATCTCGTACTATACTCTTTATTTACAATTGTAGCCGTTGTGTTGGTGATCACTTGAGTTGTTATTCATGACCAAGTATTTATTTAAAGTACGAATTAATTTGTAGAACAGACATATTTACACACAATTTCAGGTCACTGTGGACTGATGCTATTCTGCTTAACTGTCAGATACAAATTCGAAAAGGGTTCCACGGAACCCTGTGTCTCGGCTGCAACTGTTGTTATCAGTGTATATTGTGTGTAATGTTGACTGGCGAAATTAAAGTCCGTTTATCATTAAATTACTTAAAAATATAAAAACACTTTAATCTACAGATTGAATTTCTTGATTTTGAAGAAGGTTCTGATCTAGTTTCATTACATTTCACGAAAGTTTAAAATAGCTATGGATGTCTGAAAGTATCTAATACCAGACTTTTTGAATAGTTAACTGCCAAAACTAAATATGTTTCTTAAAAAAAATAAACCCAGACTCTGCTAAAGTTTTATAAGTTCTATGAAGATTTGACAAAGTTAGTGACGTTTTAAAAAGGTTAAGCATCACCATGTAATATTAAGTGTACACAAAACTAAGTCATTGTATCAGTAAAATACGGAAAAAATATAGTTTTAAAATTTTGCTCTGGATGCTGTCTTTTGATCAGGAGAACACTTCCTCCTAATTTTTTTGACTGTTTAACAAACTAATTGATGTCTAAAAAAATTGTTTAAACCACATACTGACTCTAAATGTTGATGACGCCGACGCCACTTTTTATACTTTAATAAACATATATAATTATTACACTTATGGTGTTCCATAGAAAATAAGTTGCAAGAAGATTATATTACAAAATAAAACGCATCAATAAATATCATTGAAAATGTGTCCTTAATTGACATATATATTACACTGTATAAGTGTCAAATTAAATGGCTTGATAATACATGCAGCACTCACCTATTTAATGTGATATTTTACATTCTAAATGTACTAATATCTAAACCGTTCAGGTAACCAAAAGTCAACTGATTTTGAATAGTTTACGCTTCCTTGTTCTCGATACTTAGAACGGGTTTGATCAAAAACCGAATACAAGGAAGTTTGAAAATGTACTACCACGGTCTTATAAATCTATACAATCGATATTTGAACAGCATGAAAACAAAACGGATAGCATGTATTTGTTGCACTACAGGATAATTGATTACTAACATAATACTGATTGAAGAGATCTATAATAAATCTTCTTTCTATCATTCATTCACAACTATGAAATGATAGATTATTTTACCTTCGCAGAATAGATCTCTAGAGATATCTACAGTCATGCAGATTCCCGGAAATTTTACGCTTACATTTACAGGTATTAAAGTTGAATATCCTCGATTAATACAAAATGAAATAAAAATAAAAACTGCTCAATATATTGTTTTGAAACAATCTTAAAAACAAAACAAGTTAGTTCATTCTTATATGTATCTTTAGTAAATTTTAAACAAAATTAAAATTAATTGTAAAAATATAGATTTTGATGTGGCGTTAAAACTATAAATTGAGGGGAATATATATCATAGCTTCAAAAAACTATTTATTAGAAATAGACTTGAACATTGACATTGCTCGTCTCTTTTAAAATATTATAATGTCATACATGATCTTGTAACCGATGCTGGAATTCATATACTAAATTAGTTAACTCAATGACCAGTTTCATATCCCAACGAATAAGAGTATTCTTGAGATACAAGAATGCATTAAGATCTGATTACCATCAATTGTATGGAGATTAAAGCTGCTTAAATAGACGTCATTTTGACGTTGGGTAGATAGTTGTCTCGTTAGCAATCCTACCACATCTCATTATTTTCTACTGTATCAAATATATATTTGTGGTAATTTGATAGGGGTAATTATTATTAAAATCATTGCGCGTTATTTAAATATGTATATATATACAATGTATTCTCCTTATGTTCACTTACAGGTTGTAACCAGTCTGGTGTACTTTGATATTTTTGTTATATGATAACATGAAATATAACAAAGAAATATTGTAGACAAAAAGGGTATTAAATAAACAGTAGTTCAATGATTTTATGTAGAAGTTACTTAGTCTACCTTATTGTTCAGTTATTGTCATTTGAACTGAATTATATACAAAAATACACATTTTATATCGTGCCTGCAATGAACTATTGACCGTATGATGATATATATAATAATTTTATTTTATATGAACCTTACAGTCGTGTATAAACATAAATTATCTGAATTATAAATCAAATTTGATGTAATATCTTCTGCATACATGTTGAAAAAACATTCGATTCAGGTTCAGTGAAGGAAAACTTTAATGCATTTACAAAATTAATGATCTGTGAAGCTGCATATTGAAATCAAACACTATCATCTTAGATTTTCTTGAATCTAGATCTACATTAATTCTTCGTATATGAACTGATGATGATTTATACATGTCTACCAAAATGATTTAAAATATAATATATCATTATAGTTCAGACATTATCATTTGTAATGTTTTCTGTCCCAACATGTAAGTACATTAATGATATTATTATATATGTACAATCTAAAGTTGAAGATGGTTGTCGATAATTGTTTTACTCAATATCACCAATTTCTTTTTAATATCATGTTATATTTTAGATCAGAACATTGAAAATATGACAAATTGGTCTCTGAAAGTGAAGGATTTATGTATTTACATTCAAAACAAAACAAATGCATACTTCAAAATGTAAGTGGGATTACAACATGTGATCACATGTGTGTAAGTGTGAAAGTGAAAAAAAAATTAAATTACTTCAAGTAATGAAATCATATAGGAAATCATTCATATTTGGTCATGATAACAGATAAGGAAGTATACGAATCGAGCTAATTTTACGTTATGAACCATGTGCACAAATAGTCAAAAACATGTGATACATTTACGTTTTCCTTGTTTGGATAGTATGTCAATCCGGGTAAGATCTAATTATTGTTTTGTTTATCTAAATGCAGATTGATCTTAAAAAGCATCATTTGTTTCTATCTTTTATATGAGTGCCAAATAGTACGACTGTATCTCATCAAAACATTAAGTATAATGAACAAGCACAAATCGAGAAGGGGTCGTCATTTTTCAATTTTGTTTCCGTGTAGAGTTGCGTTAACATACACCAACTAAGTATACTGAGTGTCAATAGAAACGCAACACCCTTATTTGTTTTCTATAATTATGTACAGTCGTTTCGTCAAAACTTCTTTCTTTTGAAATAAACAAATCTGTCAAAGTTTTTGTCTATTCGAACAGACATAAACATAATTCTCAGCTAATTTTAGCATTATCTGATTTATAATTTTCCGTGGATAAATTAAGAAATTATAAAGAATCTAAGGTTTCAACTCCCTTAGGCAAAGTAGACCTTACATGAATTCGGCTATTTTTTAGGTGTCTTTTCTTAAGGATGTATTCTTCTGATGTATCAGTCTCGTTGAAATCTCGTTCGGGAATTATTTCCAAAACATGTGATACAAGTGGAAAATATTAATGAATCTAAAAAAATATTATAATCAAAATAAACTCTATGAAAAAATTGTGTACTTACAATAAGTAGTTTTTGAGTAATAAAATTTTCAAATTTTATAGCCAATCCGGTCAGTTTCATCAGCAAAAATGTTAAGAAAATGGTTGAGGGGTACAAAGAAATGGATTTGCCAAAAATATGTACATCCCATATCTTCTTTTAAAAATTCTTAGATATGTATTTTTTCAATCATTTATAACAAAGAAGTTGAAATAATATGCTCTTTGTTCTGAAAAAAGGAGAAAAATCCCAAATTTTAAAAAATTGACAGCATGGTCAATTTGACACGAAGAAGCAACAAAATTTTATAAAACTTTCTAATATTAACACCAACCTATAGTTTTTTTAAAGATATTGTTTTTCAGATTGGTCCACTTCTTCTTTAGTGAAACTATGAAAAAAGTTTTAAATGTGAAACTGTGAATTTTTTCATGATAATAGCCCAAAATGGGTAAAAATTGATAAAAATGGGAAAATCATTAAAATGGGGTACTTTCAAATGGCCTTAGCAAAAAAAGAAGTGCCCCATCATATGATGTTTTCTTCATCAATCACTTTCTTACAGTCATTTAAACCCAAAAATCAGGTTAAGAAAAAAAGTTTAATTCTAGAAATATTTGGCTCCTCAGAGGTGTACATCCTTAATATAGCTCCTCATTATGTTTAGGTCTGATACATCCGGGGCTTTCAAATGTTTTGGTTTGAGTGTTCCTGATGAAAGTAAATCCAAAACAAAAAGCGTTTTTGACGCAGGTTATTAATTTTAAAACTGTTATTTTCATTTTTAAATTCAAAGTTTTAACCCAAAAGTTAAAATTTAGTCTTATTCTTCTGATAAATTTTTATCATAAAAACAAACAAAAATGAGTGTAAAGATAAACCAATATCAGGTTTACGTGCTTCACCCTACTGGACAGCATGATCAATTAATCTGTAGCGTACTTTGTATTTTTACTTTGACCTCTTGGAGACTTTTATACGACTTTTGAAATTAATAGCAAACGAAATGACGACTTTAAATGTCAAAACTTTAATCAAATGATCGACGATAATTTTATTTAATAGGTTTGTCTATCTAACCATAAAAAGGAGATCGATATAGCATATGTATTATTGTTATAGGCACAAGAACGGGTAAACCAATTCAGAGACAGAGAGGTGAAGTGAAATTCCAACAAACATTTGTTATTAGTACATGTACCCCCAGTTGCGATTTGTACTTTCTATATCATCTTCTGAATTCAAATAAATGTCTACGATATCTTCTGATATAGTTTATGTCTTGCCAAATACATAATTATTAACTTCATCCGTCTACATACTATACTTATATTTAACTTTTTGTAAGTGTCTTTGACCTATTGATTGTTGGGATGTAGATAACCTCTAGTCTAAAATACGGTGTGTACTTTAAATTTTCTACATCATCTATATATTGTCTTTGATATATCTTTTTGTTACTTGCTATCTTGTTGAAGCATTTTCTTTTACAAGCGACTCTTATGCACAGGTTAATAAACTTTTCCTATCCCGTTTTCATCAATTATGATAATGAAAAGTGCTCCCTTCACCACTGATAAACCTAATTATTTACTTGTCTAAAATAGTTTTTTTTTTTTTATCTTTTTTTTCTCGACTGCAGAACATTTTGGTTTTGTTATTACTTGTTTGCAGCTGCGCTGTTCATCGTGTGTTTTAAATTTACGATTCTTCATATGCGGAAAGACGGTAAACAAAAGGGGGTTTGAGCGCATGCGGGATTTGTGACCGTGCCAGGTCTGATTATCTGAACCATGTGTTGTTCATTGCTAATTGTCTTATTTCGTGTTTTTCGGAAGAGTCAACTTTTGATGGTTGATGAGGTCAGCTATTGCTATGTGGTATCTTTGGTGATTCCTGTCATCCCAATGTGTCATTATTACCATTCCATTTCAAACGATATTTTCATAATGAATTATAAAGTGTAACTTGTTTTAATGATTTTTTGTTAAACATAAAGTAGTAGTTGTGATATCATTGTAAAAATGACAGCTATTGTAATATGTTTATATTATTAGTTACACAGTTTGCTAGTGACCTAATACGATATATAAGGTGTCAGTAAATTCCATATGGGGTGAGAGCAAGATATATATCGTATTATGTCACTAATACACTGTGTAACGAATTTATCTTACCGACTATCTTAACTTTTGGCATCTAGACTATAGTGGGCTATCAAAGTGATCAAGTCTTCAATATAAAGAACCTACTTCTATTGATCTATTCAAAAACAAATGCCAACAATAACAACTTGTTAGCTTTTGGTGTGTTTTCTGCATTTATTTCAATCGTTCATCATTAATTTCTTCATCCGTTGTACGGGTGAAACGTTTCAAATTTTTCCTCAACCCCTTGCTGTTTTTATAAAGGGTCGTAACACCACTACTAACCTTGTATTAAAATAAACCATGCCTATTAACCTCATATCAAATATACAGGATACCACGCGGTCGCTTTCAACCAATGATATTCCTAGAAATGTATATGATGTAAGATAAATCCATATATTAGGTCGGTACCACTGATAGTATCCCGAAATAATTCGAAGATAATTATCTTCTTTTCAATAGATTCTATGCCTAGTTGCTAATTTAAAATTGATACCCTTCAACTGAGATTTTCATTGAAAAATCATGTTCTTCTTCTTCCTGGTACGGGAAAGACTCCGGTGCCGGAGTGTAGAATATCCCGGAACCGTGGCGCTATGTACATGCAAACGGATGTCGAAAATTGTGTTATAATAAAATAAAATATTTGCCATAGTTCAATTACAATTTAAAATAACATTAGTTGGAGCTTAATGTTAAGCATATTAACATTAGGTACAGTGGCTTAAATACACTAATTAATTAGCCAGACTAGATCCTCCAAATGTTAAGGTGGAGATACCACCTTTGAAGGATTCTAGGGAGGGTGACATGCAAATTGTTTCTGGGAGATCGTTCCAGACACCGAACACACCAATAGTACTTGGGAAAAAAAGATGATTTGAAAAGTCTTTATTTGTATATATATGCCGAAATTTATGTAGGCCTCTAGTTCGCCTGTCAGATTGTGTCAGGACGTCAATAGTGACTTCGACCAACCCCCCATTAATTTTATAAATCAAAACAAGCTTAGCTTTTGTTCTACGGGATTGTAAGTTTTTCCATTTTAGTTTGTTTATATAACATGTTTCAAACATAATAAAATACACATCAAGCGTATGATCTAAGTAAGTACCGACACAGCAGACCAAAGCCAATTAACTAATAAAACCTCAATGCGTTGACCTTAATAGACCAATTGATAAGAGAATTACTAGCGTGAACAATGATTAGAGATATACAGCTAAATATAAATAAACCTTGACCGCAGATAATTGATAGCTATTAACGACCACTCGTATAAGAACGATCACAGACACCATACCATAATTACAAAAGTAG